ACATTTTTTTTATAATAGCATTTAGTAAAATATATACAGTAAACAAACTTAATTTCTAAGCCACCATAGAACTTTAACCATAATAAATATATTGCTTTTCGAAGGACTCGTTGAAAATTTCTACCATTTAAATCTCCATTGTAAATTGCAACATTTGCATTGAAAACTTAAAGGTCAATGCATACAGTCGGCAAAAAATCCGTCACGTACTTACGTATAAAAGCTAATATTTCTCTTATAAAAATCAAGAGTATAATTAAATATAGCACAGTGAATAACAAAAGTTGTTTGTCCACATGTCTTTTTTTTTATGTAAAATAAATTAAAACTATAGAATCTATTAACTCATCTCACGATGGAAAGGTAAAAAATATTGTCAGCCTCCGACTTTAACGCCGTTAAAGAAACAAAGTTTTAATAATGGAGTAGAAATCAAATTGGACAGATGTATGCTGGTGTAAGAGCAACAAGGTAAAGGTAAAATCATAGACAAATTTCACAACCATCAAGGATAAAATGTAATTAGCAAGTTTTATATCCATTTATATAAAACAATGTGCTGTTGACTGTACATGATTGTGTTACTAAACTTTGTATGTGCGTACATATATAATTAAGTATCCGTGAGTTTAGAAATGAAAATTTGTAAAAATAATGCATGTTTCTAAAGTTCATAATAGTCACAAATGAAGTTTATGGCACACCAATTAGTGACTAGTGCGTTGTTAGTTAAATATAAAGCATATAATCAACAATATCGCAGTGAAAAATAACATTGCAATAAAAATCAATAGAATAGTGATGCGACGATTCAGCTTTTAGAATCAATTACTCATTACTCGTTGTCTAGTACGAATATTCATCATTCACGAAAAATCATCGAGTTCTAATCTACTTCAAGTTTTGTTATGTATCAGAAATATAAATTCCTTTAAAATAAAAAGATAGCGATATGCTAGCAATAATATATTAAAAACAAACGCGTTTAATTCAGAAACGGAGTTTTTTAAAAGGAAGACAAATAACGTTTCATACTAGTTTCTAGTACTGAGTATTTGAATACGTTTCAGACTCGAATACTACCGCTATATTATAATGAAAAAAAAAATACAACGCACAATTTTCTTGCATTCAAGTATAGTTATTTACATAGGGAAAAAAGAAACATCGTTTTTGCGCATTTAACTGATACTGGCGTAAAAAATAAAACAAATGCATATATTTCATAAAATATAGCAAATGAACTATATTGATGCGCCATCTTCGTTCCCCTTTCGGTTCGACGTTGAAAGACGTCTACAATTTCACAATACTATCGACAGTACGATTAATTTTCAATAATCGATACTGCGACAATCGATATCGATACTTAAACATCTCTAATTCTGGTGTACTGCTTGCCAATTATTCTCATAAGAAATAAAGCTTACGTTAGTAAAAATATAACATCCTCTTCATTTCTGTAAAAGCAAACAATTGAAATAGTTATAATTTTGTTTCGAAAATAATAATACTATCACACAATACCATAATGTCACCATTTAAAGCATAGACAAGACATTTACATAAAAAGAAAGTCATATAACGAACCTAAATAGAATTTTTTCCATCGTGTTATTTGTTTAAATAAGTTCACTAGATTTTCTTGTAAATGTATCGTCAGCGCATTCTTATATATTCAATATATTTTATGCAATAAGGATTTCAATCTACAGGCAGTGCGTACTCGGAACTAACGGAATAAGGATTAGTACAGCCTACATGTGGACAATCGATATCTGTACATTGGAAATGTGACGTCACTAAAGTAGTATCAGGTCGACGTCACATTTCTACAGGGGGTGAGCGTGTCGACACAGTATGTCTTTTTAGACGCAATTTATTTTTTGAATTTTCATAGGTAACTATTATTTTTTTATTCTTACTCAAGGGAGCGAGGGACTTAATACCCACAGAGTTGGGACGATTAGTTTTTTTAATATATCAACCACCTTAATATAAGTATTATTTTCAACATTTCGCTTTCATAAAATCGGTTTTATGTAACTTCAATGCCAGTCCCAAATAGTGACATATTATAACGGTTACTATAAATTGGGCGTCCGATTCTGCTTTTCCCTAAACTATTTTTCGAAATATATTTAATGCTTTTTTAATCTAATTTATACAAGATAAGTAATAAAAAATTATTAAGCCTAAGTAGTAATAACTAATGATCTAGAATCATGTATTTTATCATTATAATACTACTTTTGTACTTCAACTGAAGTAATAAAACGGATATAGATACCGCCACCAATATCCGGTGTTGCCGTTTTCTTCTTCTGGCTTATCGTTTTCTGCCTCTACCGGTTTTTCCTCCTACAATAGATAAATGTGTATAAATATTTCAACGTAACAACGCTAGATAATGTAATTCGCTAATATATATATATATATATATATATATAGTATTTATGATAAACTTATTGTTCAATTGAAATTGAAATAAATGAAATTTTGTGATGGCAACATCTATAATATTGTACATTTGTTTATTTAATCTTTTATGCACTCAGAACTACAAATGGAGGATTTCATTACCAGTCAACCGGAGAGTTATAAAATAAACTGGCCTTTGCCCGCGACTTCCCCCTGGTAGTCTAGTTTTAAGTTCAGAAATTAGAAAAATTCCATTGAAACTTTCATCCCCTAATAGGGGTGGAATTTCGTAAAGACGGGATGTCTTAGTGAGCACCTACGTCCTAAAAGGAACCCGCATGCAAAATTTGAAACTACTAACACTTGTAGTAACGCAGTTTCATACAAACTTTCATCCCATAATTTAACCCCTTCTGGGTGGAAAAATTTCAAAAATCCTCTCTTAGTGCTCCTCTGCACTCCCTAAGGAATCTTCATTCCAAATTTCAACTTTAGTAGTTTCGCTTGTACGTTGTCTGTCACTCAATCAGTCACTCACTCAATAACGCAAGAATTTTATATATATATAGATAGATGAGGCGGTATCATCATAGATATGAAATAACAAAACATTAACAAACAATATTACATAAATAAATACATCAATTGCTGTTCGTTTGTCTCGTTAAAACTCGAGAACGGATGGCCCTATTTAGATGATTTTGGTTTTGAAACGTCACGAGAAGGGTTAAACGATGAGATGTTACACGAAGTACACCGGGTAATCTAATATTAATATAAACATATACATAAACACGGATTTATATGAAGTATATATATGTCGGCGAGAAGGCGCTTCGATTGTGCAAAACGCCATCTGTCAGCTGCAGCTGTCATCTGTCAAGATCTATGGTGCTTTGCGAAACGTCAAGTTATGACATTGACGGCTGTCATCACTTGGGAGTGGTCTATGCTTGTTCGAAGATGGCACTTTACGTTGTGCGGCCATATTGAGCGGACGCAAGCGCAGAACTCTCCGCGTTTCGTATCGCAATCCGTTTGCATCGAGTTATTATTAATGTACTCCGATTAGATAATTAAGTAATTCAACTAAATAACTGATTTGTGATCTATATGCGATCTTATTTCGAAGGAATATCTCGACCACTAGTCAGATTGCGGATGTTGACTAACCTAACTTTCCACTGGCCCCGCATGACCTTCCGACATATAATACTAGCTTTTGCGTGGACCCTAGGGAAATGTTTAGTAGGATAAAAAGTATCCTATTATCTAAGTCAGCTAATACCCTATCTGTATACCAAATTTCATCAAAATCCGTTCAGTAGTTTCGGCGTGATTGACCGACAAACATCCAAACAAAGAAACTTTCACATTTATAATATTAATATATTATAGATAGGATTTATATAGAGAAAATACGCAGACAAAATATACAATCATCTGACTTATAACCAGAGGTCGGAATTAGGTAGAGTTATTTATGCACTTGTATCGAAATGTTGATATTAATGTGGACCTTCCCGGGATTTCTTTATTTCTTCTTTCTTTATTTATTTCTTTCATTGATGTAAGTTTGGCAACGTCGTGCGTGCAGTAGTTTAAATTGTGTAAAAGTAAATAACTTTTTATTAAAAAAATCACGGGATTTTTTCTGCTCTTTAAAATTAATCTCGGGATTTGAGGCATATCCACTTTATTCTTTCGCTGTATGAAATCAGTGTAAGTACATGAATAACTCTACGTAATTCCGACCACTGCTTATAACTTATAATTGAAAATCAATATCTTCCAGTAATCAATAGCTCACCTGTTTTACTTCTGCATCTACGCTGGGTGTTGAATGTATTTTTATAAAGTTCTCTTTAACATTCTATGGAAGGAAAAAAACAAATTTAAATTATTATTAGGCTTATGTGTTTCGAACTTATAATAGCAATAGCCATTTATATATTTTCAATTTTGAAATTAATTTTAATGTTATCTGTCCGTCGGGCATATTACAAAAGAATATTATAGGTATTTTTAATTTTCTTGAATAATATTTAAATTACAGCGATACATTGAGTTAAAATATCGCTTGACGTCACACATTTGTTTTTCTACAATAGTTATGACGTAGCGAGACCCCCCACTCCTCAACTTTAATGCCTATTATCTTAGCAATTTATTTTTAAATTGAAGCAATAAAAAAAACGTACCTAATATGGTCATATTATCTGTCTGACGGATTAAATCGATTTTAGTTTACCAAGGCTACTTTTTATTTTGAAGTCCAATTACTTAAAATAAACGTTCGAATGTCCCGAATTTTTTTTCACAAAAGGTGGCAAACCAGGTGGTGCACTATTATAGCAGTCCTAAGTCTAGTACATGTAGTCTTAATTCAAAAAAATCATCTCCAGTTTTGGCCTCAAAATTAACTAACGCGTCTAGTGATATGATCATCATCATCATCAACAATTTATATCGTTCCCACTGCATACAGCCGGGTACAACGGCTAAACTTGGCTTCCGAAGCACGGAGTAGCTCGAGATAATATTTTTTTGGTCACCCATCCCGTGACCGACCCTTGCGAAAGTTGCTTAACGACAACGATCACATGCCGCGGCGCTTATCCGCTACGCCACCGAGCTACTCATGATGATGTGATATAATCTCAAAATGATACTCATTTTTGACTTAATTCATATGAGAATAAATCCTAAAATAAAGTCAGGATAAAAATTGCGATATAAAAATTTACTATAAGCACAAAAATCAATACAAATTCTCACCTGTTTCACTTCCGTATCCATTGTTGATGTTGAATTGACTTTATCGACTTTTACCACTTCGTTCTACCGATCAAAGCAAAAATATATTGTTTTTTTTTTACCATTTAAATGGGTTTGGTAAAGCCGTTCAAATGAGTCTGGTAACTTTTTTTTATAATACAAGCAATTTTAATAAACTATAACAGCTATTTTCCCACAACTTATCCCACGTAAATAACCTATATCAATAATGTTAATAATTAAAATCCACCCAATGTTTTAAAGCCTAATCAATGCAAACAAACAGACAATCAAATCTTTCTTCTTTGTGATATTAGTATATACTATGTTTCTATTTGGTCCCGACTGCATCTGCATTCGTTAACACCCACTTATCCGCACTGGGGCCGCGTGGACGCTCATGTCCTATTTTCTCTATTCGATTTGATTCCATTCAAGGCCTGAGCCCCCAGCAGCGGGGTGATGATGATATTTCTATATACTCAAATAAACAAACAAACAAACAACACATCAAATCTCACCTGTACTATAACTACAACTGTTTTGTCTATGGCTGCATTATTGTCTATGCTCTGTATTTGTTCCGTCTGCGTGCTCTGGTCTCGTTTCTGTTCAGCACCAGCGTTCTCCAATTCGGGACCGTCTTTTGAAGACTGCAGAATGATTATTAAATATAAATTAATGAGCGATAAGTGAAGGTGATAAAATATCACATAAAAAATTATGTTAGATATGGTAACTTATATGTTAAAAAATGTAGAAGTTTTTGTTTAAAAAATAAATTGTAATTTATTCTCGCAATATTAACTTGCGATTTAATAATCTGTGGATTAAGAGAACCGAATCGCGGAAGGCCATTACGGAGCATCGTATGACGTCACATTTCAATAAACTTAACGTCGGAGTCTTTGTTACTGGTACAACCAGAAGGTCAACAAATATTCACGTAATTATTATTATTTACTGTTGTAAGGGGCGATGCAGTTCCCTGAGGAGCTGTAGTCACTAGTCACACCTTGAAGATCTATTGTGACTCGCCGTCAGAGCTATAATAACTCCTTTAGCCCGGTAGACTTCAAAAGTCTATAATATTCCTGGCTTTTAGAGATTTTATATATTCTCGGCTGATTATATGTCGTCCCAGATGTATGCTTCGTTTGTGGATCAATGGTCCACATTCAAACGGGAGATGTTTTGGTGTTTCACGTTCCTGTTTGCAATATCTGCAAATGTTAATTCACTTAGTTTCATGTTAAAAAGGTGTCTGTTTAATTTGCAGTGTCCAGATAAGGTTCGTACATTTGCTCTGTTAAGCTTCAAGAGTTTTTCAGCTAGTTTTTGTGGGGATTTAGCATGATTTAATCCCCGCTGTTTTTGACAGTGTTTTTTAATCCCTTTGCAGGTCATTTTTTAGAATTTACATCACATGGTTTTTTGGGATATCACAAAAGGGCTCTGGTCCTATTTGTAGTCCCTGTACTCCAGCCCTTGCTAATTCATCCGCTTTTTCATTGCCGATGATGCCCGAGTATCCTGGTACCCATTTGAGAATAATTTTATTCTTTTGCCCCAGTTTACGTGATAAACGCATCTCGATAGAATCTCAACGACGTGCATTTCACTATTGTACTATTTAGCTAGTTCAATATTATTAGTGCAATGGCTTCCTCATACATCAATGGTAACAGATATATAATATTCGACTTCAAGCAGATAGTACAACGACAAAATACAAGTAGATTCTAAGAGATCTTAGTAAACGTAAACATCAGCAGCATTGGCCTACGTACAGCACTCGTGTTTATTGAATTGTGACGTCACGGCTCTAATAGTCACGTGACTGATTGTGTTCGCAGAACAATTTACAATAACGAATAAAAATATGTTATTGTATTTATTTAATAACACGTTTTGGAGATAAATAAATCTGATAGTGGTTTAATATCAAATGAAAGTTATCAAAAGCCCAAAAAAATCAAGTAGCCAAGTCATTAATGACAAAAAAATCATCAGGGAAATCTTGCGATGACAGTTATGTTGACCATCTAACTAACGCCATTTACTTCTAGCGTCATAATAGTTGATAAATTCATAAGAAATTATATTTACACAAAAGGAAAAAGAACACATTTTTCATTTTAAGTACCATATAGTGTCACGAAGATAATCACCAAGAAGTTTTGATATTTAAAAAAGTATTATATTTGGTCAATTTTACAGTCACAATGCTATACTGAAAACATATTCTTTGTGAAAAATGCTTAAATTAAATGTGTCAAAATACCTCCATATCTTGTTCGCTGACTTTGAATCCGGGACTGGGTTTCGTTTTCGATTGGTTGAAGGACACGAAGTCAGGAAGCTCCTGTTAAAAAAGAATAATGCCTTAGGATACATGAATCATGCCGAAAGGCTTTAACTTTGTGACTGTCATACTAGTTCGCCATTATTATTTTTCGATGGAAATCACTGGAAAATATTGTTAGTGGCTCTAGCCATAAGGCACATCAAGTAGAGATATATTACTATATATTACAGATCACTATTTAACGATTATATATTACTAATATAGTACACTGTACATCATTCAAATCATCATTCGTTTTGAAAGCAATTGTGACTTTAAAAGTTACACAATTCCAATAAATCACTGTCACAACCGTTATACGTTGAAAGAGATTGCAATAGGTTTAAAAATTAAATAATTAGGCTACAAGTAAGCCCTCGCTCGTAGTACTGTGCTGTGCCGTAGCACAGAACCGTGCTGTAGCACAGTACCGTGCCGTAGCACAGGTTCGTGTCGTAGCACGTTACCTGATTGGAGCGTACGCTCCGCCACTTGTCGTAGTCGTGTGCGGCGCGCCTCATCCGCTCCAGGTAAGCGGGCGCCGCTCGGCCGGTGGCCCACGCCGCCACGCCGCTCGGTAGTCCGCCCACCGCTGGCTCGTCGTAGTAAGTCAACACGAATTCCATGCCCGGCTGGACGGAATACGACTGCCGTTACTTATTTATTTATTTAAGGCCAGCTTACAAGACAATACACTGATAATAGTATTATTACAATTATAAAATAGCATACAAATAAGCGTTGCCTCACTTACAAGCTGCCACGGCATGTACAGTTAGTGACACAGGAGGAAATATGTGAGAGAAATTTAATAAGATTACATAAAATTTCACTTACTGATTCAATTTTACGATAACAATTACTTATCCGTTATAGCAGCAATCATATTAGATTTGAACAAGTTAAATTTTGAAAACATATCCAAATAAAAAATATAAAGCACTATAGTCCGTTTCACATAGCATAGGCACGGTAACGTTTGTTAACAAATCCATTTCACGCAAGTTGTATTTCCGAATAATTAAAAACTATTATTATAAATCCTCCTTAACCATCCATAAGGAAGGCCTGAGCCCCTGCAGTGGGGACGTAAAAGGGCTGATGATGATGATGATGATGATGATTATAAAAAAAAGTCTGACTCTTTATATGTTATGTAAAAGCCGAAGGACGGTTAATCTTAAGATTTGTCAGTAAATCCTAAAATTTCAATATTTCGGGCTCTGCCTTTGCACCGTTTGGGAAATGCTAAGATTTAGCAATGATGGTTGATAAATGTTGGTAATAGCAATAAAATAATGACTTGTTCTTAATCGTTTATTTTAATTACTGATCAATAAAAGCCTCACATAGTTTTGATTATCACTAAAAAATTCAAGTACCATACGTCACCATACCCATGCTATGTTATAATTTCTATAATGTCAAACTACATCTCCCTTGCGGTGCAAGGAGAGAGAACCGAGCGCCGCCAGACGCGGTTCTTATATAAAATAAATTATTCTATAATGGTTTCTCTTGCATTGTAAGATTTAAGAAACCATCATTAAGCCAATAAGAATAAGAATATTTTTATTGACATTCACACCATAACATTACAATAACAAAAAAAAAAGACAGACAATAACTTCCAGAATTCATATCTATAAAACTCTATATGTGTGGTTATATTATGTGAAGGCCAATTAGGACCCTGTCTCAGCTAATGTCGCTACTGTGTTTTATCACAGTACCGACGCTGGTATTATGACAGGGCCCAAATGAATTAAGATAGCCAATACAAAACAAATAATTGATGAACGCTTATAGTTTAATATGATATCTTCAATTTAGTAACCTAAATATTATTGTTTAATCATATTAAATAAAATATATATACATACGTTAAAGACATACTCTTATCCCGCAGAACATAAGGTAAGATTTACCTTATCGACTCCATTCAAACTCTTCACAACCATGTGACTCCAATATTCGGACACACGGATCGCATTCTTCGATTCCGGCACCTCAGGATGTTCGCAAGAACGCGATATTATCACAAACACCTAACGACGAAATAAAAATTTATCAACCGGTCAATACTTAAGTAAATTATCGTTTATGTGTATTTCAGTATGTGTCGGAACCACTAATGACTCGGGAATATTAATAGAGACCTAATGGATGTCTTCCACATCTCGCCACAAGAGAATCGACGCATTTACAATGTTATATAAAACTTACTTTATTCTCGAGAGCTCCTCCATTAACTTTCTGCCTTAAATCATTCTCTATGGCTTTCCTTTTCGCGTGTGAATGTACACTGGGTCTCTCTTCTTCTACAGGTGGATGATTAACAGAGGGGGGGGATTCGAACAACCCCTCCTTATGGGGGAGGGGGACAGAACCAGTCACGTCGAAGTCTTTGTGTCGACGGATGTAAACGTAATCACGGTTAGCGAATAATCTCTGCAAATAAAAAAATATCAGGTCATTGTGATTTCTTTGATTAAACCAATAAAGGCAAAGGATACGGCCATACGGCCCAAAAAAATAACAGTTCAAGAAAGCATTTTGTAAAAGTGGAATGTCAATGATAACATATAGGACAGAGTAGTCAAGGCATAAAAATGATGTTATTTTTATAAGTGGTATAACCATAATAGACTATCAGCATAATTAAATTCAAATATATTAATTTCTTCGATATTATTAAAACTTTCAAATGTCTCAAAATAAAGGACATATGCGATTTATGGGGCACATCTCTTAATATTATCATAAATATACTTTATGTCATAGAACCTTATTTGGCTGATATATTTAACCGTTGTATAGATGAAGGAACATTTCCAAATCTTATGAAGCTTAGTAAAGTTATACCTCCCTTCAAATCCGATAATTTGGAAGACCCTATTAATTATAGGTAAGGTAAAATCTTCGAAAAAATTATTCTTAAACTCATTGAACAGTCATTGTCTTGCTTTAATTTAAATAAATCACTACATACTAAACAATATGGTTTCTCAAAAGGTCGCTCTACTACTGATGCTGGGGTAGCATTTCTGTAACATATATTCAAGGCTTGGGAGTTGTCACAAAATGCTCTTGGAGTATTTGTGAGATGGGGGTTCCCCAGGGATCTATTCTAGGTCCCTTTCTTATTTATTTATCAAAAAGTTTGAAGAACATCACTTAGAAATAAATTTTAAACAATTGGGATATTGACAATGGCCACCCAACTTTAGATTAGGTTGGGGAAAAGTCTTCATTTTTTGGTGCATAAATAATATAATTTACAACATACTATTAGTAATATATAACCGTTAAAAAGTGATTTACAGGCTTTTTTTAAGAAGCAAAGTTAAATCAACAAACAAAATATTCACCCAGGTAACTTCCAAAAATTCCGGAAATTTTGGAAGTTTTCGAAAAGTTTCAGGGCAACTTTCAGGGCAACTTTCATCTCTATGTGCAGCACAGGTCACATAAATAATTATAGTTAATAAGCTGACCCAAGACGACGTTGAGTGAGACGTAATACAACATCAGCCTTGTTCCCAGAATGTAAATCATTTAATTGGATGCTTAAACTTATTATTTATTACATCCTTACATCCATGCGGAAAGGATGGATGTATATCCATACATACATCCATCCATACATACATCCATCATGCGGAAAGGATGGATGTATATCCATACATACATCCATCCATTCCGCAGCCATTCATAAAATATAACATTATCAAAAATACAGAATATTTTTTTTATATTTTCTAATAAAGTGATGGAAAATGACATCATATTTTAATAAAGTAATTTTTTTAATCTTGGGAGAGAAAAAAAGTAGCCATTGCCGAAATTCTTGCCAGTTCTTCTCGGTACAAGGTTTACCGCCATACACTTACGAACCGATGGCAAAGAGTTTCGACTTTCACAAGTGCCCTGTAACAACCTAGACTGAATAAACGATTTTGATTTAATTTGGATGTGACAACCCATAAAAGTGATACTAGCCGCTATAAATACCACTAAAAGCACAATCTGTTCGCATTCTTCGTCGATTCGTCGTAGTGTACAGACGTTTGGGTAACTATTAGCAATAACACTGTCACCCTAACTAAAACCAGTATTATCCCTTAATTTATTATCAATAATTAAAAACAAACACATTATAAACCGATTCATTCATCAACAACAATTTCAAAGTAAATTAAAAAAACTGTTTTTAATATAAATAATAACGTAAAAGCTATCACCCGGTTTCTGAAATAAGTATTTAAAGATAAGCACATCTCAGATTGTACAATACTTAAACGTCACATAAACAGGTTTTCGTTTCTGTTATTCGTTTTTTTTTATAATGAAAAAACTAGTACTTTTTGCCTTGTCAAAAATATAAACCTTATTTAGAATAATCAATTGAGATTTTGTACTTGTCTTAATTTAGGAACCGGTCGTTTGTGTTGAACCAGTGGTTTCATTAAAATGATAAATAGGAATATATATATATATATATATATATATATATTTAAACTAACAATAAGAAAACGCACAAACATAATATAAACAACTTAACGACAGTTATAACCTCACTTTGATTTTCGGAGGGTAGAAAAAAACTCACCGGCCATAACACTTCCCAGTGTAACACCGCCTGGTCAACTACACCCTGCGCGTGTCTCTCCACCACACTGAGAGCGGCGACCGCTGCGTCCCAAACGCGGCGGTACGCACCATCCACTTGTACGGCGGCAAAGTCCTCAGCGCGTACATCTCTATACCTGCCGTACACTGCCGGACAACAATGATAAGAATTAACTACGAACATATTTACATCCCCACTGCAGGGGCTCATGGCTGCCCTCCACACCGGCCCAATGCGGATTAGAGGGTATCAACGACTGCATATACAGGCGGGACCAACGGCTTAATGTGTCTTACGAAGCGCGAAGTAGCTCGAGATAATAATTTTTGATCACCCATACCGTGACCGACCTTTGCGAAAGTTGATGGCGCTGATCCACTACGCCACCGAGATCTTATTTAAATATGAATTATTTCATTTATTACTTGATAAATGTTTTTACTCAATAAAAGGAATTTTTAGAACATTACACGTAATTTTTAACAGATCACATTAGAATAATATGAATTTTATACATTAACTTATACTTGACACATGCAGTATAATTTTAATGTTTCACACGAACACGTTCCACATTAAGATGGTTTATTTAATTTGGTCTTAATCGGCTACTTTATAACGAGGAAGTATAAAAAAATGTTGGAAATGGTAACTTGTATGTAAACAATTAATAAATATGTAGTATTTTTTGTTTCAAAAAATACTACATATTTATTAATTGTTTATTTTAAAAAAAGAACGTGCGCGATTTTCCATCTGTGGATTACAATATCCGAAACGCGGGCGGCCATGAAGGAGCAATGTGTGACGACACATTTCAATAATCTAAAAGCCAATGTCTTTGTTGCACGTGCAACCAGTAGGTAACTCATAAGTAACTCATGTTTATTGAAAGGTGACATCACGGCTCGAAATGTCACGGGCCTGACTGTTTTCGAGGAACAATTTACATAAATAATAATAATAATAATTTACGCAGGCGAAGTCGCGGGAAAACAGGTAGAGTTAAAAAAAATTACTGTTATTATTCACAATATATGAGTGACCAAAAATTTATTATCTGGAACTCATACATGCTTCAGAAAGCCCATTAAGTTGTTGGTGCTGACTGCATCTGCAGACGTTAATACCCACCAACCCAAACTGGGTATGGTGCATGGTGGTTCATGGCCCGTCTCCTCTATTAGATTCAATTTGATTCCATCCATAGGAAGGCCTGATCCGCAGTAGTTGAGACATTAAAACGGTGATGATTATGATTCACAATGTTACATACTTTTGTATTTGAAGTGAGATTCATTTACCTTTGTATGCATAAAGACCCTGCCCTGGCTTATATTCTTTGCGCCATATTATAACGTCCTCTGCTTCCATATACGGTAGCCAACCGTCAAATGACTCTTGAGGTGTATGAGCATCTTTACAGCTGAAAACAATAAGACTATATAATAATTTTAAAAGAGTTTTAATATTACTAAATTGGATGAATGGATAGATTTTGTTAGTGGTTGTATGAAAAGAAACTACACCAGTCAAGATTACAACATAACTAATTTATTATTCAATTACCTGCATATCCCATTATATTTCTACCTCTGCCAATTTAATTAATCTAATACAGAATGTACATACCTTTCCTTCATAATACAATCAAAGTTAGAGCGTAAGCTGCATTAACGGATCCATCATAAGAATTAGGAATTCATAGTTAATAAATTGTCATTAATTGTTAGTAATTTTGTTTTATGTTACTGTCAATTCAGTACATTTAGAATACAATTAAGTCTATACAAACATATAGAATAATAAAAGGCAATAGTAATTAAATATTAAGTATTAGCTAAGTTTCTTCCAGGCTAAGATCTCAGTCTGAAAACTAGTTACGTATATATTTTGAAGAAAAACATACTTACACACAATACCGAACACCTGGCTGTTTCTTATCTATTACAATTCTCTTCCCACACCCAATACAAAAGAGGGTAACCTTCGAAAGTTCCTCTACCAATTCTAACTCTGTCACAAGGGCCTAAAAAATTAAATTCAATGTTACCAAAACTTTGAGTAAAAAATAATGTAGTGCATTTCAGAATAAAATCATCTACCAAATCAATTCAATGTGTTTCTTAAACATTAAATTCATATTTAAAATTCTTGGGTTATAAAAACTTCAACGTAACTACAGAATTACATTTTTTTTCTTATAAGAAAGTCACTTTATATGTTAATTATTTCCTTCCGCTACTTAGTGATCCCTTGTTATCTATATAAGCTTAATGAATCTTGTCAAATGAAGAGACCATAATATTTTTGAAAAATAATTAATAGTTTTAAGAAATAATAATTAGCAGGCAATACTTGGGTTTGCTGTCACAACAATATTATGTCACACACATGTACCTCCAGCTCAGTATCTGTAATACTCTGTTCGCAAGTTGGAGGTTTATCTGAAGCTTCTTCGTTGACATTAAAAGCTGCAGTGGATAACAATAATGTTCTACCAGGGCGGAGCACGGCTTGTCTAAAACACTGAAAAACCTCTCTAACGCTACGATCCCGCTTTATTCTTTTAATCACTGTGTTCGCTAAGAAACTACGTGACCAATTGCTCCAAAGTCTTCTTACACTTAAATCTCTCAAAATAAGACGAAAAGAAGACATGCTAATAAGACTTTCAGACTTCGTTACGGCAGCCAAAAGACTGTTGAATATTATACATTTTTTTGGGAAAACACCATAATATACAAAGCTGCTATAGTGTGAATTATGTTTCAATGCCGGTTTCGTAATTAGTGCTTGTCTTAATTTCCTACATAACATCTCGTGAGCAGATACCAAGTCCTAACCTCAAAAGGTCATTTATAATTGACACAAGACAGAAACATTCAGTGTTGCTGCATAATCCATAAATAGGTTTTTACCTAATTCTCAGATGAAAGTATAATAAAATAAATGACAACAATATAATCATATGAGATGACAACCGTATTATTTTGTTGCAGTTTGTTGCATGCAGAGTGCAAGTAATCTCTGCACACTGATAGTGCACATTCATCTCATTGATCAATAAAATAATAAGAGACCAATGAAAGAAAAAAATAGAAATCACCCGATATAACTTAACCCGATATAACTTTTTGTATTTAGATGTGTGATTTGTCAAAGTTTAAGTACACACAATGTCGCGGCAACAAGTCGTGCGTGTTTGAGTATCTTTAATTATACACATTGATCGAAAAACACCAAAATATGTTCTATGGCGCTTATAATAAAATTCTTATTTATGTAATGTGTATATAATAGTCATACACTGCCGTGAAACAAATTGCCGCAATTCACACATTCATTTTTTACAATAATCAAGTCATTTGTTCTAAAATAGGGTTGTATTGTTGATTGAAGAAAATAGTCTTAGAAAAGTGCTTACTTTAGTCTAGCAACACTGCTTTTAGCCAAAGAGTAAAAATATTTTTTGTGCTCTAGTAACATTTTCAAAGAGGTGCACGCTGTATCGCATAAATAGCAATCTAATATAACGTTATAATCATTTTAACAATATAATTTATATAATATAGTCAATGCAGTGTTTTGATAGAGTTATTAAAAAAAAGGAAAAATATGCAATACCTGATAAGAAAACCAATAAAAGTTGTAATAAAAATAAATAATAAAATCAACTGAAGCTTTTTTTTGTCATTTTTCGATATCTCATACTGTTTTATATATTCGGTTTAAGAATTACCATAAACAGTGGCATCGCCAGCCGAAGGCCCAGGGGAGTGTTGATTATGGAAAATGCGCCATGTATGAATTTCAGCTAAAGTCGAGAGCACATTAACCTTTATTTTATAGTACGAGCCTTACATCAGTACAAAGTGGTAAATGTAAGTTTTACGTTAACGCGTTCATTAGTCGGCGTGTTAAGAATTTGTATGGAGATTTGTAGTTCTTAGTAGTTACCGCTAGGGGCGCTGTATTGGATTGATTCTATGCTAAAATCTGAACGCGCTCACGAGCGACGACGAATTAAACTTCAAAAAAAGAATCAGAATCTAACTTATAAAGTTACACGAACTCTTGGCTGTAGCATAAATAATATTTGTAATTAAGTTGTTGCATTTATTAGAAAAATATAATAAAAATAACTCCACTCCCCTTAGCTCACTTTAACATAACATAGAGAAGAGCGTAATTTAATTAACGTCAGGAATTTTAGAAATAAAATTGGTGAGTTCATTCAAGTTTTAACGTACACGAATTATCGATCAAGCAAGTTAAGTCCAATATTTTGATTACTTTACACTAGGCAACGTTTTTAGAATCTCTAGGGAGTGAGAATATACCGCTCCATGCTCCCCTTGGCGACGCCCTTGATCATACATGTTCATAAAACTAATTTGTATATTTTAAATAAATATAAAAAGCTGTTTTAAATGAATATTAACGTTTCAAACAATGACTATGATCATAAGTTCTAAATTAACATCGTATTTTTAAGTGAATTTATAATATCAAAAAAGGAAGTTAAATAAACAGACGTCATTAACCAACCTCAAGCAATAGAGGTTATTAATTTGACCTTTATTACCGACTTCAAAAGAGGAGATTATTAATTTGACGTTTCAATTTGTAATCCGAGTGTTAATCAACTTCAAAACCACTTAATAAAGGTGAAAACTAATTTAAAGAAATTCTATTGAAATCGAACGGTTAATATTCTGTCTAATTAGTCTTATCCCAGCGGTGATTCATTGGTTTAATTGAACTATAAGAGATTTGATACGATCCTGATCATCTGTATGATACAAATTCGTATCCGTAATAAGCAATACGACCAGCGTGTCGAGCATTTATAGAAATCTTTGAAAAGCGACAATTGACAACCTCCTTTATATAAATTATGCAGTCGTTCGATAAATACTTATAATATTTTTGATATAGGCTGAAGCTATTTTTATATTAGCAGTAACGATAACATAATATTTATTACGTTATGGTATGTTTGACACCTTTATTTTAGCTAGCAACTTTTTTTTCTTTCATTTCATTTTCCTTTTCGACGGACGTCTTAGCGTTCGTTCGATCGTTTAGTCACGTCATCTTTTTATCCGTGTAATGTCTGAATTTTGCATCCCACATGCTTAGGGGTAACCGAAATAAGAAGAAATCCAAGAATCCCCGCACCAGAAGAAAAGTTCGAGTGATAATAACAGACGTAAATGTGAATTAGAAAGTGTGGACTGAGTCGCGAGGTGTACGGTTCGTCCGGTTCAATCTGGTTTTTAGCAGTTTGAATCGCGGGTTGCGAGCCTTTTCCCTCTCATATTCCTTTCTTAGAAGTTTATTTGTGTGATTAAAGACTTTATTTTAAATAATTTTAGTGTTTTTTGTGGTGAAATAGTTTTAATTAAATCGAAGTAAAATGTCCGAGGAATCGTCAGCAGATCGAAATGTCGAAATATGGAAGATCAAGAAACTCATAAAAAGCCTGGAAATGGCTCGAGGGTGAGTTTTCTGGGACGTTTACTTGTATATTGTAGACATATGTTCCATCAATGGTATAGTTTTTGGCGACACGTTTCGGTCAAAATGCCAACGAGGCTGCGTCACTACTTACGCATGCGCTTGAACAATGGTTCACAATGCATGCGCTTCTAACCTTCAAAGATCTTCGTCCTAAGATCAAAACACTGCATTAGAGCATTCTGACGTAGATTGTTTTGTATGATTTGGTTCCACATAGGAAATTTAGAATAATTTATAAACATTGTTACGACTTCCGTATTTCGATCGATATATTATATTTATCATCATATCATCATTGTAGAATAGTTGAAGGATATTTCTATTCAAAATGCGATTTTGCACCAAATTACGTGATTAATCACGAAAGTCGAACGAGTGACCCATCAGCTTTGTGAACTGAATTACCAAATACCTGCATATGATTGTTAAATTTTCCTATGTACACACAACAGTAGTTTAAGTTTGCATGATATCTCAAGTTTCCAGAATTTGGATTCTAACTGTGATATGTTAAAATCAAGTGGATATTTGACAGCTTTGTGTAACCTAACAAACTGTTGGCTGTACTATTGACATCACATTATGTTACTATTAAACAACTGATTACAGAAACATGACTAATTTTAATAAACCAATCAATCTGCTTTTGCAAGTCGCTGCATATGAGTTAATTACCATTAATGTAACATCATTGTTAAATTTTTCACAAACTAATAATTAGAATATATCATAATACTCAGATCTCAAGTATAGAAGTTTGCAATTAAAAAAAGTTTTTTTTTCTCTACATAAACCTGGTAAATACCCATATTTTGGAGAAGTAATGCCTCTCGGCCACTATGTAAATCCACTGAGGTTACTAAAGATGGACACTTTTGTTGGAAACATTTTAGAATTGCCTGTGTAGTCGCCAATACTAAAGCTAAGTCCTTTATTACAGCAATGGCACATCCATGATCTCACTGATCATTCCACCGAAGGATCAGATCTCGCGTGTGTCCAAGATGTTGGCAGATGAGTTTGGCACAGCATCCAACATCAAGTCACGAGTCAACCGACTTTCTGTACTTGGTGCAATCACGTCTGTACAGCACCGACTGAAACTCTACACTAAAGGTATGTAGTCACTACTGCTGTATTATTTAGGTCACAATCAATAGATTTACATTTTATTGTGAATGACTTAAAGATTGCTATGTTAATTTTTGTAGCTCTGTCATGTCAACTTTGTGCACCTCCCATACAGAGATTCCCATACTATCTTAGGCATGGGACCCCCTTTTCTAAAGTGAACTGATAGGTACATAAAAACTGACAAATTATGTCTAGGATTAAAGATTTGCTGGAATATGAACTCTGCAATCCATTCTTAACTGACATGTGATGAGAAATTAGCTTATCAGATATTTAGTAATACACATGCATTATACATTAGCATGTAGACCTCTCAATCAAAAAATGAATGCCTATTTTAAGCCAGTGAGTGGGGCAATCAGTTTTAACTTTCATTAGTTACACTAACCATCAATGTCATATAATATCTCGAAATATGCAAATAAGAACTAGAAGAACTCATTTCATCACCTCAAATTATGTTTGTAATGTAATGTTTGAAGTTACTTAGTAATATACTTATGTATCTCTGTCTTATAGTGCCCCCCAATGGCCTAGTGATATACTGCGGCACGATCGTCACTGAAGAGGGAAAGGAGAAGAAGGTCAACATTGACTTTGAACCATTCAAGCCTATCAATACATCGTTGTACTTGTGTGACAACAAGTTCCATACAGAGGCTCTCACAGCATTGTTGGCTGACGACAACAAGTTTGGTTTCATTGTCATGGATGGTAATGGGGCTCTGTTCGGTACACTGCAAGGCAACACTCGAGAGGTAAGGTTTAAAATATTTATGCATTTCTACAAATTCACTACTGATACATTTATCAGCATGTGAAAAAAAAAACAGACTTCATTAAAAATGTGAGAAATAATACTTTTATTAAAAAAATATTATATATTAGGTCCTTACATATGAAATTGGCGTTTTGTCGTACTAGCCACTTAATCACAAATTTCTCCTCCTTGGTTGGAAATTCCAAATTCAAATTTATACAGCCGTTTACACATGTATTTGTGTTTCGTTAGGCGGCATTCATTTGTTTTTTTTTTTCTTCTGTTTGTCCTATTTACGTCACCCAGTATAAAAAATTTAAAACTTGAAATATTGTGTTATTTATAAGTACGAGTTCCACCGTGGTACCAGTGCTGCGGAAACGGCTCGAAGGGTTAATGATGTGTATGGCGGTTGTATCGCAAAAGAAAACGCAATGCGTTTTTGGTTCCAACGTTTTTGTGCTGGAAATTTCGACGGAAAGTGATAATTTTCGTACAATCTTGTCTCAAATAAGAAATAATTATTTGTTTAGGTACTGCACAAGTTCACAGTAGATCTGCCCAAGAAGCACGGCCGCGGTGGTCAGTCTGCGCTCCGTTTCGCCCGTCTTCGTATGGAGAAGCGTCACAATTACGTGCGAAAGGTCGCCGAAGTCGCCACGCAGCTATTCATCAGTGCCGACCGACCGAATGTTGCAGGCCTGATATTGGCCGGTTCTGCTGACTTCAAGACTGAACTGTCTCAATCTGACATGTTTGATCCGGTGAGTTTTGTTGAAATTGATCACTTGCAGGCTGCATGCAGTCGACTTTATCGTTAAGAACCGATCGCAAAGTTCACTGACCAAGCTGTCAAATTCTATCTCTTGAAAGTAATGAATATAGCTAATTTGAATGTTGAACTTGGTACATACTTGATTTAAAATAAATACATATTATTTTTTTCTGGTAGTGTTTAATATACTACTATTACCGATAGTCCCACTTTTATGCTTATTATATATTTATAATATTGTTTAAATTAATTAATAAAAAACCTTTTTTTTTATTGTCTTTGTCACCTGACCACAAACAGCGTGTGACGTCACGCCTTTCTTACTCATATCAGAACTTGGAGAATTCAACGTTATGCATACATAAAACGATATTCGTGTCAGAAGTACCTTAACGCCATGACAGAAGTGGCGTTTTCGTAGGAAATTTTGAAAATTAAATTTATTTTTATATTTTAACTTTGTGTATGAATGTTTTTTTTAAATTATATTTTATTTATATCTATAAAAAAGGTTGTTTACACCTCTATTGGGTTAATTTGTGATTGCAAAGACTGTCGAGACTGCATACCAATGTTTATAAAATATGATATGTATGTGGTGATTTTAAGACAGATACATATATTAATACATTTTAAGGTCATACTTTAACAAAAATCTGGTGGTGTACCCCCTTTATCAAAGTCAACTAAATAAAAATTGTGTTCTGTATTTTCCTTTTCAAAATTCTTAAAGACTACTGCTTGGATCAATTAGCCTTACAACTCGAAATGTATATTTCTATTTAAATTGTGACACATTCAAATATCTAACAGCGTTTGCAAGCCAAAATCATCAAACTGGTGGATGTGTCGTATGGAGGTGAGAATGGCTTCAATCAGGCCATAGAGCTGGCAGCTGAGTCACTGCAGAACGTCAAGTTTATACAAGAGAAGAAACTCATTGGACGTTACTTCGACGAGATATCACAGGTGTTTTCACATAGCTTTTATATATATCAGACTATGTACTTACTTAACTACTAACAATTTATAAATTTATGAAACTACCCACAAATCCAAATAATCCTGACATTTATATGTGAGGAGCTCGATGGCGCAGTAATCAGTGCACTTGGTCTGCGACACTGTTTTTAAGCAACTTTTCAGTTAACATTTATTGAACACACAATAACATATTTAACAAATAAGAAAAAAAAACAATAATTTAACTTGGAGTGAACCCGGTGTCATATCCAAAAGATTTCATAAACAACTCAGCTTGTGTTACAAATAACTGCAACGTTTATTTTTCCATATTTAAACTGGTGATTTAAATTTTTTTTTTCTTTTATATTTTTCAAACAGTCATATTTGTTCCGTGAATGTGTTTTAATGCGCACATGATTTGACATATTAAAATTCAATTATTCAATTATAATCATAGTTATATATGGACATTAATTCGCTTTTTATTCCACCCACTTTAACACCTTATTGAATTGATATATGGTACAGAGTCGGTCTGTAAGACATTTGAATGTATGCCTTAATAAACGGGATGTCCAGAAATACAACTCATGGCCCATTCTCCCTATTTGATTTGATTCATTCCATTGGGAAAGCCTGAGCCCTAGCAGTAAAGATATTAATAGGCTGATGCTGATTATGTATATATCTTTGATACTCAGGATACTGGCAAGTATTGCTTCGGAGTGGATGATACGCTACGCGCTTTAGAACTGGGCGCGGTGGAAACGCTGATCTGCTGGGAGAATCTGGATATACAGAGGTGAGACAGATCTATTAAATTAATATTCTTAATGAAAAATGCTTAAAAATAATAATATTTTATTTTGCTAGAAACATTGTTACATAGATGTTAGGATAGGGTACACTGGTCAGCATGTTTTGCTTAATATTCAGCATGCAAAATATAAAAATGTCATAATCAAGTAGTATCAATATTAAGTCATTATTACTGTACATACTAAATAATGTTTAGTTTCATTAATTACTATTTATTCATAAATTCCTTAATTGAATAAAAGCATTTATCACAGAGCCATTTGGTAAGCTGGTATTGACATGGTAATATTCTATAATTCTAATTAAATTATTACTTTCTTTATCTTCACTCCTCATCTGTTTTTAGGCAATTAATTGTATGCCAGGGCTGACAATGATTGTATTGGGTTCTCAGTGTAAATATTAGTTACAATATTTCAATTGACAGATATTTTTAAATATATTATAGACACGGTCGACCAGTAAAGTCTCTACCTTATCTTAACGCTAACATTGACTTTTCTAATGGAGTTTAGATCATCAATTATGACGTGTTGTCTGTTATCTGAGATATCTGACTTATAATACTGGCATAACATATTGCAATGGAAATTAAACCTTATTGTTTAGTGATATTCAAAAGAAATTCCTATTTTAGGGCGATAAGCCATATTTTTACCTAAACCAATTTATTTTGAACATGTTTAACGACTATAGCAATCAAGCTTCATTCTAACGACCTTTAAAATTAGTTTCATTTAACCACTAAAACAAAATGATCCTTCAAGCTGGATACGTATACTTATATCATAAATGGAAAAGTAACTATGAGCCAAACCAGTGAATTGGTTTTAATTGTGAAAGATATAGTTCAATAATAACTATAAAACACATAGATTATTTTTCTTATAAAATATCGTAATGAAGGAGTAGAAAAACAGGTTGGGAGTTTGTTTATACTTGTTAATAAATCAGATTGTCAAATTAAGAACAATTGTATTGCAGATACGTGCTGAAATCACACGCTACCAACCAGGAAACAATCCTACACCTCACCCCGGAGCAAGAGAAGGACAAATCACATTTCACTGATAAAGAGGTATGTCATGGTGCAGTAGTTCTAAACCTTTTTCATTATTACTGTTTATAGTTAGAAAAAAATATTTTATCACAGACTTAGGCTAACAGATGTCCCATTGGCATTTCGAAAACATACTAAATTTCGTTTACAGAAATAGAATAGGCTTTTTAACTGTTATGTTAATAGGGTTGACGATTGGGTACAAAAAAGAAAATTTTATTTAATCCGTCAGTCAGATAATAGAAAAATATTAGATGCGTATTTTTTTTTTTTTACTGCAATTTAACATAGGCATTAGAGTTGAGGAGTGGGGCACGCTACGTCACGGTTTTGTAGAAAATGTACAAATTCGTCATATGACATTTTAACTTAATTTATCGCCTTAATGAGAAAGTATTTTAAAAAAAACGAAATCACTAAAATAGCACCTCCATTAGATGGCGACGCTAGCGAAATTTGATTTTTGCTGGAAACGAATGGACCAAAGACAGTCAATTCCGTTCCTTTTAACTAACAGATAAAAAAAATTGAAATTTGAAAAGCTCGAAACTCAGATATCAATACAAATACGAAAAATTACAAATAGATTAAGAGTTGTTTATTGAGTTTTGAAAACTAATTTACTTTTAAACATGAAAGAAAACCGGAATCGTCATGGAGAAATCAAGAACGTACCATGGCGACGTCTAGTTTAATATCAGGAACTAATTTTATTTTTTTAATACTTACATTTAATATTTTTCAACAATCTACCTGAACGACAAACAAAAAAAGAATTGCCGTTATATCTATTCATATTAATGTAATGTTACTGTAATATTGTATTCTTTATCACTTTAGAGCGGCGTGGAATTGGAATTGGTCGAATGTCAGCCGTTGCTCGAGTGGTTGGCCAATAACTACAAATCGTTTGGTGCAACGCTAGAGATCATCACGGACAAGAGTCAGGAGGGCAGCCAGTTCGTGCGCGGCTTCGGAGGCATTGGCGGTCAGTAACGTTATTATTATATGTTTATTTCCACCCCCATTGGCGTTGGAACGTGGTGGGGAGTCTAAACTTTGGTTAATCCATTTACTAAGCAAAGATTTAGCCTCCAAACCCACAAATTTTAAATCCGTATTAGATATGTTAAGTCTCCTTTTGTAATCATCTTATGTAATTGTATTAAGAGTAATAACATTCGTCTATGATTTAAATTCAACAAAATTTTAAACTTAACTTGAGCTTTCAATTCTATCACACAAAAAGCGGAGTTTATAAAATATTAAAATATGGATCAAACTGAGCGAAACACTGTATTCTGGCGTAATCCACAAGGGCAACGCCATTATTTAAGTTTACATTCTTCCGCGACTTCTCACGCGTAATTTATAGTATACTAGCTTTCTTGTATTATACATAAAAACCTTCCTTTTGAATCACCCTATCTATGAAAAAAAATCCGTTCCGCATCAAAATCCGTTGCGTAATTTTAAAGATTTAAGCATACACAGGGATATACGGACAGAGAAAGCGACTTTGTTTTATACTATGTAGTGATATCACCCGCGTATAATGTAGCTTTCTGTAGAAATTGAAGTTTTTTTTTTTTTTATTCGTCCTGTAGTTTTTAAAGCCTAAACAATATTTTTTATTCAGTCTTTGCTTTTACACTTGTGAATGTCGAAAGCTACGCCATGAAATCTACTGGAGACCTTTTATTGAGAAATATCGGCAGGAAACTCGGCGAGAGCTGCTTATTTCTCCCTTATATTTCATCCGATGAAATCCAATTGGAAAGTGATGTCGTTAGACGATGAAATCACATACCGTCTCAATATCAGAAATAACGAAACAAGACAACTTATTGATAATCTATTAATATGCCAAGTCAAACCTACATGCAAACAAACAAACAATCTAAAATCTTTTCTCTTTATGATACAGTAAGATTTTTGGCATAAGGGAATTGTTAATGAATTAATGTTTGGGAACATATGTTGCGAATTTACTAATAACTTTTATTATTCGCGCTTTTCCAAAGCATAATCTAAATAAATTAGAGGTTTTTTGTGATGAAGTATAAAAATTTCCTCAGAGGAGGGTAGTTAAATATCTTATTTTTTCTCACAATGGCCTCCCCTTTGTTAGAAGAAATAAGATATTCGACTCCACTACCCCTGTAAATCTTCTATAATAAATGGATAGATCTAACTAAACTAATATATTTTTAATTTATAAACCCTTTACTAATAATATAATATTTCTTTTTCTTGTGCTGCTCGGAATATGGATGGATCGAAATCGTGTCAATTTTGTTAAATAATAATAGGTATACTGCGATATAAGGTTGATTTCCAGTCGCTCCAACTCGACGAACCACTGGACGACGTAGACCTCGACGACTATTAAAAAAAAAGAGAAAAATCGAAAAAAAAATAAACATGGATAAAAAGAAGACATGATTTTTAGAAGTTGCCATTAACAAAGAATTAAATACCCACGATACGTAGATGTTAAGAAATATTGCTTGCATATGATTTTTTTTGTTCTTCACTGTAAGATGTGTTCTTGTTTTTTAATTTATTGTTATATCGATCTGTCTGTCACATGATATGGGTTGGATGAAAAGTTATTTTACGCCGAACCGCAATCTATTGTAGCTATCCCATTGAAAAATGAATATAAAATTTAACAGACTTTCAAAATTTATTTGATATATTGATGAAAATTAATTTTACATACAATTTTAATATTTTTTAATAATTTTTTTTAGGGATTGATGTTACCCATTTTGGGACATATATCAACTAGTGATTCCGCCTCGAAGTCAATTTTTAATTCATATTTTAATGTACTGTTATTCAAACGGTCTTAGAAGTTAATGAAAAGAAAAATTTGATGACAATGTCGCCATTTTTGTTGATTAGCAAATTCATGGATGTTTCTGGGTCTATTTATGATTTGTATTATATCTAAACCTCTACTCTATGGGACGATATTTTGACCGGAACCTATTACCGCTTAATGGCGACACTATGATAATGAAACGCGCTCACATTCTGCAAAGAAAGTCTGTTAAATGAGCGAAACGTTCTTGAAATAAGATTCAGTCCAATATCCAATATCAGTTCAATATCACAAAGACTAAATTACGTATGAAGATTACTAGATTTTGACGTCACAAGTCCATATATTTATATTTGTGAATAATAGGATATTATACTGTTGCAAATAATACTTGTTACTGTTTATTTTAATTTAAAACAGCCATTAAACAAATATATTCGGAAAAATAAACACGTTTTTTGTCTTAAAATTAAATCAAAATGTAAACTTTTTTTATACCCGCGAAAAGACTTTCCCTCATATTCATGACGTTATTTTGATATGTACACAAAACATATGCAGAGAGTAGGAAGATTATAAGATTTGCAATAAAACAAGAACAACGCCATCCAACGATCGATTAAGAAATAAAAAGATATAAATAAGCTAAGAACAGCGCCATCTAGGAATTTGATTTATAATTAATAGGCATATCTTTATGACTAATCTGACAGCTGTTGCCAGAGTGACGTCACACAATGGCGGGTCGTATTTCAAGTCACGTGGCACACAGACAAAAAATCACTACTTTTAATTTTAAGATAGTAATTTAATCGTGCGAATTTTAAGAGACTCATGTTTATTACGATGTAAATTTTAGTTTTTGTGCAATATCGTGATTTATTGTTCACTACAAAAACTACCCTATTTATGAATAACATAAAAACATTTATCTTACCCCCATCCGTGTGACAGACAGTGTTTTATCGATACGAATTTATTTATCGTGTTTTAATGTAACAACACTATCGATTATTTGTTATTGTTTATTCGCGCTTCTCCTTCCCCAAATTTCACGGCTTCATTTTGTTTGTTGTGTGTCGAAATAAAACGGAGCGTATACTGAAATTTTGTGACAGCCCTATAACAGAAGTAATGGAAAATTGAAGTGCACTTAAATTGCAATATATTAACTCTGATTATGCAACAGCAATTCAAGATGGTGCTTACAAGAAGCCAAGACGAAGAAAACCAACGTCGTGTCTTCGACCAGCCGCCGAGATCGCCCTCAAGTACACCGACCGTACGAGGACGCCTCGAGACGGGTAACGCCGGGGAGAGCCTACGCACCGCACCGCAAGTCTCGCAACTAGCGCCTAACGCGAACCGCGCTGGGGCAGACGTTGCCGGAGCACGCGTCGCCTTGGCAGTGACTACGCAGCCGCCGAGCGGAGCGGACGAACGCGCAGCACACCCAACGGACACAGCGGCGACTACTGGAATAACGACATCTGCGATGACGTCATCGGTGCAACCGGCGAAGAGAGTGCACGTCGCGCGTTCGACCCGCTCGGCAGCGAGCAACGCGGCACGCCGGAAGCTACGCATCGAAGCAGAAGAACGACTGGCTGCCATAAGACGCCGAGAACTCGAAATTGAAGCGGACCTCATAAAAAAGACGCTCAATATCGAGTTAGAAACGCTAGACGGAGCAGAGAGCGAACCCGAAGCTGAAGAACCGGCAAATAAATTACAAGATCGAGTGTTCGAGTGGCTCGACGACGCGAACGTCGACCAACAACGGGGGGAGCTCTCAAGGACCGCCGTGGCTGAACCGCCACCTGAACGCGACACGCGACGCCCAGATAGGGAAGAACGAAGACGGTCGTCATCGCGAGGCAGAGGCATCGATCAACTCGCCTCTGTCCTCGAAACTCTCGTGAAGTCACGACCGCCGCCGCGTCAAGCATCGGATCTACCGATATTCTCTGGTTCACCGCTGGAATGGCTACAGTTCGCGACTGCGATGCGAGAAACAACGCGGCTGTACGAATTCACACCTACAGAGAATATGGCAAGACTAAGAAACTGCCTACGTGGAGAAGCTCGGGAAAACGTCGCATCATTGTTGAGCACCGCGACGCACCCCGACGAGATCATGCGAACATTGGAGCAATGCTACGGAAGGCCAGAAAGACTAGTGGACATGGCTTTCGCCGATCTACGGAAGCTGCCGAAGATTGGACCTACCGCGAACGATCTTAATATGTTTGCGGTGAAGCTACAGAACGTCGTGGCCGTCCTGAGGAACGTGCAGCCAGAGTACCTGCTTAACCCACTGCTGACCCGGGAAGTCTTAGACAAGATGCCAAGTTACCTTGTATCGAGTTGGTGCAACTTCGCCGAGTCACAGCCGGGCCCGAACGCCGATCTACTCAAACTTTCATCGTTCCTGATGAAGGAAGCTGACCGCTGCATGCGATACAACTATGTATCGAACCTCACCGCACCCTCCACATCGCAACGAACACGAGAAACGCCTCGCCCCGCCCCCAGACCGGAGGCTAAGAAGAAGACGGTGTACGTCGCCACCGAAGAAGCACCGCAGCGCAGATGCCTTTCATGCCAGGAAGCCCACACACTACCTAGCTGCCCAAAATTCAAGCAGCTAACGTATGATGACCGATGGGAGCTGGTGAAGAAGGAGGGGCTTTGCTTCAAATGCATCGTGGGCCGGCACCGTCGATTGAACTGCCGACAGAAGCTCTGCGGAATCAACGGATGCAAGCGACCGCATCACCGACTGTTGCACGCAGATGAGCGTGGAACGACGAACGACGTGGCTACGAGCGCGACCGACTCAAACGCGGCCGCAACGGAACCAGCCACCACCGAAACGACGACGGCTGCCACGACGACAAGCCGCGCCGTCAAATTGAAGATTTGCCCCGTGACAATCACGGGCAAACGTGGGAGCTGCGACACCTACGCGCTCTTCGACGAAGGCTCGACGGTCACCTTATTAGACGACGACCTGGCGCGACAGATCGGCGCCGACGGACCGACCGCACAGCTCAACGTCCGAGGAATAAACAAGAAGCAAAGTCACGTGCAGAGCCGTCGAGTGAAGATTGGAATAAAAGGAGCGCGCAGTGACCAGATCTTCAAAATCAACGCTC